AGACTCCAACTCAAAAAAAAAAAAAAAAAAAAGGCAGAATTAGACTCAGAATGTGTTTTGTGTTGTGGATTTGATTTGGGGGCTGTACACAATTGCAAAGCTGAGTTGAATCACAAGAAAACAGATCAGTCTCCTCAACATAAGCCTTCTATAGCATCTTTGTTCTGCCGTGCTAGATGCCAATTGTTTCAGAATAAATAGTAAGATATTCTTATGCTCCTCCAGTTGTCGGCTGAGGTGCACAAGATACACTCCGTACGTGGGACAGAACCCGTGCTGCTGTTCAAGGAGGGCGCGGTTCGCGGTCTGGAAGCCTTGCTTGCAGAGCCCCAGCAGGAAATTGAAGCAGTTCTCTCAGATGGAGAAGTGATCAGGTGAGTTCCAACACTGTTGAATGCATCCAAATGAAGACGTGCTGTGTGTTTTTTTAAAAAACATTTTTGCCATATTGAAAAGTATTTTGGTTGTCAACATAATAAAGGCAACCTAGTTAATTATTTATGGGGGACCCAAAAATGGAATTATCTTTTGGGGCAGTCCCCTTGTAGGATAGGCTTCCCCTTGCTAGGTAAGTGCTCTCGGAACCCATCGACATTAGTGGAGCAAGTGGTATTGCAAGAGGCTGCATTCAACTTCAGTGACTTTTTCTTTTTGGAGATTCTTTCAGTGTGTTTGCTCATTTCACCATGGGTGATTGACAAGTGGACCCGCCCACACCGAGCAGCTTTTGACCAAAAACACAGCATGACCCCCATGCCCTATCCTCCCTGTTTACTCAATTTCGCCCCAAGCAACATTTTTTTGTTTCTCCGGATGAAAAACATCTGCAAAGGGAAGCATTTTACTGATATGGAATCGAGTGAAACAAAAAATGGCAGAAGCACTAAAAGGCACCAGAATTGACACGTTCAAAGTGTTTTGAGACCAGACACGGTCGCTCATGCCTGTAATCCCAGCACTTCGGGAGGTGGAGGCAAGAGGATTGCCTGGAGTCCTGGGGTTCAAGACCAGCCTGGGTAACTTGGCGAGACTTCGTCTCTACAATAAATCAAAAATTAGCCGGGAATGGTGGAGTGTGCCTGTAGTTCCAACTACTTGGAAGGCTGAGGCGGAAGGATCACCGGAGCCCAGCAGGTCGAGACTGCGATGGCCAGGAGCGTGCCACTGCACTCCAGCCTGGGCGACAGAGTGAGACTTCAAATCAAAAAGCTGCTTTGAGCAGTGGAAAAAGTGCCTCGATATGTACATTGCATCAAATGGAGAGTACTTTGAAGGTGACTAAAGTTTAAACATGTAAGAATAAGTACACAGTGTTTTATAAGCTCCGGGTTTTTGGGGTCCCTTCCCCCTATAGGACATTGATAAAAATAATGTCTCAGAAAGCTTCTTGGATGGTGGGTGATGGAGGAGACCACTTCATGTGCGCCCCTTCTAATACAGAGAACTGGATGAAAGATGAAGTGGATCCTCCCAGAGCACAGCACCTTTTTGTTTCTTTCTTTTGACCCTGACTGCCAAGCTCCCCATCTTTTCCCCTGGCAACAAAGTGCCGCTTATTAATGAAATCAGGATGGACTGTAAGACTTCACTTCTCCAGACTCTGGAATCAAACTGAAAAATGACTCCCTCAGGTGCCAACAGACACTTCTTGGTCACAGCTGGCTCTGCAGCCCTTGCTCCCTGGGCCTCAGCGCCATCTGTTCCTGGAAGAAGGCAGGTGGACCTTAAGAATTTCCTCAGTACACTGGTTCCAAAAGCAACTGAAAAAGGGCAGTGCAGGGGAGTCCGCGCAGATCCCTTCTGGAGCGCCCCGGCAGTCACATTATCACTTGTCCAGAGGTGCATTTGACAGATGCATATATTCCCTGTGGTATGTTTCAAAACAGCAATATTAGTGGTGTCTGCTGTCTCTGGCTTTAAGGAGTATATAATAAAAGAGTAAATTAAATATCAGTCGATACCATATTTCTTACAGTTGGTAATTTTTGCATCTTATAATTTTTCTTATTTTTTAGGTGGACAAAGCTTTTCATGGTATTTAGGCATCCTGTTTTAATTTTTATTACTGAAAAAGTAAGTGACCTCTTCAATTTCTGGCCCATTTTGTAAAATTTCAAAATTGTTCATGTTATTTTTAAATTTAAGCTGGGGTTCTAGTATTTCAGAAGATTTTAGTATTTTTTATCTGTCCAAGCTGGAGTGTAGTAGCCCAATCATGACTCACTGTAAGACTCCACTTCAATTCCTGGGCTCAAGCAATCTTCAGCCTTCGATTCCTGGGCTCAAGCAATCTTCCTGCCGCAGCCTTCGGAGTCACTGGGACTACAGGCATGCGCCATCACACCTAATTTTCTTTTTTTAACTTTTTGTAGACATAGAATCTCACTGTGTTGCCCAGTCTGGTCTCAAACTTGGGTTCAAGTGTTCCTCCCACCTCCCTCCCAAAGAACTGGAACTACAGGCATGAGCCACTGTGCCCAACCATTTCCTTAATCTTTTTTAAGTACTAAAAAGTCCTACTCATAATTATTTCCATGTCTATGTTAAACAGATATTTTTTGTTTGTTTTTTGAGTTGGAGTCTCTGTTGCCCAGGCTGGAGTACAGTGGCATGCTCACTGCCACCGCAGCCTCAACCTGCTGTTCTCAGGCAATCCTTCTGCCTCAGCTTTCCAAGTAGCTGGAACTACAGGCATGTGCCTCCACACCTGGCTAGTTTTTTTATTTTATTGTAGAGGCGAGGTCTCACCAAATTGCCCAGGCTGATCTCAAACCCCTGGGTTTAGGCAGTCCTCTCACCTCCGTGTCTTAAAGTACTGGGATGACAGGAATGAGCCACTATGTCCGACCTAACGTGTTTTGTTTGTTTTTTTTTTTTTGAGTTAGAGTCTCACTCCTTCACCCAGTCTGGAATGCAGTGGCACACATGCTCATGGCCACCCCAGCATCAACATGCTGGGCTCCAGCCATCCTTCCGCCTCAGCCTTCCAAGTAGCCAGAACTACAGATGTACGCTACCACACCCGGCTATTTTATTATTATTATTTTTTTAATTGTAGAGACGAGGTTTTGCCAAGTTGCTCGAGCTGGTCTCCAACCTGCGGGCTCAGGCAATCCACTTGCCTCGGCCTCTCAAAGTGCTGGGAATATAGACTGAGCCACCGAGCCCGGCCCTAACATGCATTTATTAACATTTTAAATTTAATTGGACAAGAGGTTTTTAGGTACTCATTGATTTAAGAATGGGGCAATAGCGTCTGGGGTTTTTTTGTTTGTTTGTTTGTTTTGAGTTGGAGTCTCACTCTGTCATTCAGACGGGAGTGCAGTGGCCGCTCCACGCCCAGCTAATTTTTGATTTATTGTAGAGATGAGGTCTCGCCAAGTTGCCCAGGCGGGTCTCGAACTCGTGGGCTCAGGCTGTCCACTCACCTCGGCCTCCCAAAGTGCTGGGATTACAGGCTGAGCCACCGACCCTGGCCTAGTTTCTGGTTTTAATTTATTTAAGTATAATTGGTTGAAACAGGAATATTTATATAATAAAGTAACCTTTTTTGCAGCATGGAAATTACTTTGTATATGTACATATGGTTAACTCACATACCTTAAGCAAATATACACTCTTACGTGGACAAGAAGAAAAATCTGTCATCCAGAGTTTTACTGCATCTGTGGACCGGAAGTTTATCTCCGTGATGTCTTTAAGTGAGTTTTTCCTTTACGCTCTTGGCTGCGAGTAGGGCTGTTGTAGGTGCATGTCTAGAATCAGGCTCTTGCTGTGTTCTGTGCGGCCTCCCTCGTGCTCCCTGCAGCATCCAGCCCTTCACTTTGGCATGTTGTGCATCCGGGCACATGAGAGGTTAGGGGTGCTGGGTTTTGAAGGGCAGACAACTTTTCCACGTTGTTTCTGTAACTTTGTCTTAAAGCTTGCTAGTGTAATACTAATAGGAAAGAAGTCTCACCTTTTAGCTGGTGAGGCCCAGGTTCCAGGTAGGTGACCTGGGGACCAGACACTGTCTGGCTGACCTTGAATGGCCCCTCACTTCCTCTTTCCAGCCACTGGACTTGGGTAACCTGTTCCGAAATAGCACCTTGGCATCTACTCTGTGTCATGGCCTCAGGGGTGACCCTAGTCTCAGGTCTCTGGGGCAAGCATGAAATGCCTTTGTGGAGCCCTCTCTCTCTACCCTTCATGTTTCCCCTGAATTGTTTTGAGAAGGTGAAGGAGGAATCAGCACGATAGGGGTTCAGGAGACGTTTCCATATGGCGACAGTTAAAAGTCTTCAGTGAAGCGTTTCAGCGTGCAGTGTTTGCATCCTGCCACATCTGAGGACAGGGATGTGCTTCACGCTTCAACTCAATGAATACTGGTGTCATAAATTTTAGGCAGCATAATAGAACCACGTGGCATTGCTAGCATTCAGTAGCCTCCCAAGAATAGCAGCTTCACAAGATTTTCAGGGTGAGAAGAAATGGAACTATAGATGGATGCTGATTGCTTTCGAATGAGGGACGTATCCTTGTAGAGACTAGATAATCCGTATTCCTGGCAGTCCCCCTTCAATATTTCAAGTTTATATTCCTTGACTATTTTGATGTTTCTTATTGAGGTTTTTGTTAACCCTTTGCACTCGGATGTCCCCTCTCGGGGAACATACAAAGATTGCTGATTGTACAGAACAAACTTATGCAAGTACAAATTTTTCAAAAATGTATGTTTCCTTGAAGTTTTCCATTCAAATTGCATGAAAAAGCAAATAGAGAGATGGAATATATATGGAGATATGATTGATCCGTTCAGAAGTGGTTTTCAGGAATCATGAGTGCGTCCTTCCACATCATCTTCGAACCACAGACTGGACAATAAATTACATTATTAATGTGGGAGGAAGAAAATGAGACTGCATTGTTTCCTTCAACAGAAAAATGGCACGTGGATGACATCCAACTAATTCCTATTGCATGACATGTATCAGTGAGCTGCAATGCATGTTGGTGACTGTTTCACACATTACCACATGTTAGAAAAATATAAGAGATGCATTTTTGAATTATTTGTCATAAATAAGTTCCTCAGTGTCCAAATTCCAGTATAAGCCAAATACCATTACAGTAAAATAATTGGTTCCAACGCTGTATATACTATTTAATACAAAGTGATTTGTTTTTCACTATTTCATTAAAAAGTGTAGTCAATTTGCTGATAGGGGATCCATGAGATGTCTTTGGGTGCAAAGGCATAATAATACTCTTAGTTTACGCTTGTAGTATATCTTTTAAGACAACGCAAAGTAGGATTGTTTATTTTTCTGGTTGGATCCTTTATCAAACTGGTAAAATCTCATAAACACCCTAGTACTACATTTAATGGTGATAGATACAGAAATATATCCTTTACCCAATACTGAAGGCAAATATTTGTTTCCACCAGGCTCTGATGGATGTGTGTATGAAACCCTGATTCCAGTATATCCAACTGACCCAGAAGAAAATCAGAGGGTCGTTAGCTCACTGTTGCTGAGAGCTGTTGTGTCTGGCAGTGCTCCAAGTGGTGTTGCACTCACTGTCCTGGACCGGGACCACGTGGCAGTCCTCGGAAGTCCCCTGTCAGCCTCCAAGGGTAACTGAAGTCCGGTTTACTGGAAGACCTTTGTGTTTTTCCTTCACTGTGTGCCTTTTCTGTTCTTTATTATGACCCTAATTCATTTTCTCTGTCACCAGTTCAGTTATCTTTCTAGCTTCCTAATCATTCTTGAACAGGTTTTTTATTTCATGCTGCACTGATAACTCTTTTGAAAACACTTGCTTGTATCATTACCTTGCTCATGACTGTAGTGTCATAAAGAACTGCAGACGGTGACTGCCCATGCCAGCCTGTGGGCCTTTGAAACATTGGTGAGCCTGCGGTTGGGACTTGGACACTGGAGATGCAGGGACGACTGGGGTATGGAGCGGGGTCCTCATCACCCCTACCTCCTCACCCACCAGAAGTCCTACTCAGTCATGGCGAGCAGGATGGGGACCGCAGCCAACATCCTGACACTCCGAATCCATTGTTTAGCATTCAAGCCCTTCACAGAATCGATCCTGCCCTCCTCTCCCGTCCTCTCCCAGTGTGTGAGCAGCACCCCTCTGCACCGTCCGGGCCGGGCTCGCTGCCAATGAGATGAGATGTACCTGCCTCCACCCAGGCCAGGCCCTCTGCCAATGAGACATGACATCCCTGTCCTCACCTCTGTGCTGTGTTCTGCATTTCTTCTGCCTGGTGTTAAGACAGGAGCTCCCAGTGATGATGTAGCTGTCATGTGCCTGGCATCTTGCTGATTATCTCATTATTCGCATTATTTAACCCTCCAACAACTGTATGCGAGAAGACACAGTTATCATCATCGCTGTTTTGCAGACGAGGAAACTGAGGCCTGGGGCAGCTACGTGGTGGACCAGGAGGCAGCCCGGGCAGGCCCGCTGTGCACAGCACTCCCCCTCCGCACGCGGGCCTAGCCCTTCCCACGTGTGCCCTGCTGCGCAGCCTCCTCTCCCATCTTCCCTCTTGCTCCTGCTCTGCCCCAGGGCCCCTTAACCACCATTGGGGTTTGCTGCATCCCCTCACAGTGTCTTTTGTGCAAGCACAAGTGAGCCCTACTTCTGCGGCTGCCCCCTCTTTTGCCCAGGTGGTAGTGTGCCACATACACTGCCATTCCCAGTTGATTCGCCTAACCCAGGTGTCTGGGGGTCTTTCCGGCATATTCTTTCTCTTCCTTGCTTTTCTTACAGCTCCATAATATTTCATGGAAGGGATGTCCCACAGTATATGTCATCACGTTCCTGTCACCAGACACCCATTCCTTTTCATTTTAATTTTGTTCTTTTTTTGGGACAGGGTCTCTGTTACCCAGGCTGGAGTGCAGGTGTGATCATAGCTCACTGCAACCTCAAACTCCTGCGCTCAAGCAATCCTCCTGCCTCAGCCTCCTGAGTGGCTGGGACTACAGGTGCCTCCATACCTGGCTAATTTCTTTTATGGAGTCAGAATCTCACTATGCTGCTCAGGCTTTTTTTAAACTGAGGTAAAATTTATGTATGAGCTCAACCATTTTACTTGTTTTTATTTTTTATTGTATTTTGTTGTTTTTGAGTTGGAGTCTCACTCTGTCGCCCAGACTGGAGTGCAGTGGCCGCTCCCGGCCACCGCAGCCTCGACCTGCTGGGCTCCAGCGATCCTTCCGCCTCAGCCTTCCGAGTAGCCGGAATTATAGGCATGTGCTACCACGCCTGGCTGATTTTTTGATCTATTGTAAAGATCTTGCTGCCCAGGCGGGTTGAACCCGCAGGCTCAGGCAATCCACTCACCTCAGCCTCTCAAAGGCGCAGGATTACAGGCTGAGCTACCGAGCCCAGCTTTAGCTCAACCATTTTAAGGTGAACAATTCCGTGTTGTATACACATTCACCATTTTGTCCCTCTGCCACTCTGTCTAGGTTGAAAACGTTTTCAGCATGCCAAAGGGATGAACATGTTGAGCTGTGTCCCACCTCTCCTTCCCAGACCCTGGCGGCCACCTGGTTGCCACCTCTGTGAATCTGCCTGTTTGGCATGAGACCAGAGCCGGCCCCTTTCATGTCTGACTTTCCTCTCAGTACCACAGTCTCGAGGCTTATTCTCATTGTGTGTGTGGGCACTTCCCTCCTTCCAGGGCACAGTGGTGCTCCGTGGTAGGCATCTGCCTCTGTTGACCTGTCCATCCACTGATGCTGTGAACAGTGCTCAGTTCTTTTGACAGTACGCCTAGCAGTGGAATTGTTGGGCTGTGTGTTAATTCTCTCTGAATTCCGTGGCAGTCGCTGCCTTCATAACTCATTTTTATACTGAATAACTATAACTGCCCACCACCCCAAAATATATTTATACTTGGGACTTTTTCTGAATTTGCATGTCTTATTTTTTAGAGTGCCTCTCCGTATGGAATATAAAATTTCAGACACTGCAGACGTCAAAAGAATTACCACAAGGGACCAGTGGTCAAGTATGTTGGCTCACATCAGGGCTTTTTCAAATCTAGGTGTAGTTGTTTAGGAGATGAGGTCTCACTGTGCTACCTGGGCTGGTTTCAGACTTCTGGTAAATGTGCTGTAAGGGAAGAGATCTCTTTGGGCCTGGATGTTTTGGTGGCTTTTCAAGCTGTTCATGGGAGTGCCTGCCTGTAGTTTCCAGCACTTGGGAGGATGAGAAAGGAGGCTTGCTTGAGCCGAGGAGTTCAGTGATGGTGCCTGTGGGTAGTCATTGTACTCCAGACTGGACAACGTAGTGAGACCCTATCTCAGTCAATCTATTTTGCCAGTTACTGATTAATTGTTTTTTACCTGAAAGATTATATTTAATTTGATTTATTGTTCAAATAGTATCCCTATGTTTATTACTTTCAAAAGACTAAATTAGTGCCAGTTTGTATTTATTTATTTGTTTGTTTATTTTGAGTTGGAGTCTCACTCTGTTGCCCAGGCTGGAGTGCAGCAGCATACTCACAGCCATCATATCACCACTTCGACCTACCCAGGCTGGTCTCAAACCCTTGGGTTCAGGCAATCCTCTTGCCTCCACCTCCCAAGTGTTGGGATGACAGGCGTGAGCCACCGCTCCCAGCTATTGCCAGTTTTCAATCAAGAGAAAACAAACATCTGGTTAATAAGCCAACTTTTGGGCCGGGCTCGGTGGCTCAGCCTGTTATCCCAGCACTTTGGGAGGCCGAGGTGAGTGGATTACCTGAACCCGTGGGTTCGAGACTCGCCTGGGCAACTTGGTGAGACCTCATCTCTACAATAAATCAAAAATTATCTGGGCGTGGTAGCGCGTGCCTGTAGTTCGAGCTACTTGGAAGGCTGAGGCGGAAGGATCGCTGGAGCCCTGCAGGTTGAGGCTATGGAGGCCGGTAGCAGCCACTGCACTCCAGTCTTCTGGGTGACAGAGTGAGACTCCAACTCAAAAATACAAATAAGCCAACTTTTGTTTTGAGCTGCTCTTTGATCTTTCTAATGACATATTTTGAACTACACCTCAAGGCTGTTACTTTTCCTGATAAATTAGCCTTCTAGGCTATATGTTTGTTACTGTAGAATTGTGTAAAAATACATAAAGTGTGAAGCTCTGAGCTGGCCAGCCAAAGCCTCCTATGCAGGACCCTGTGTGCTTTGTTCTCCGTTGTTTCCAGTGCTCGCCAAGGCATTTGGTGTGTTCTGGTTACTCAGTGAGGGATATTCCTGTGCAAATAAGAAGTATATCAAGGCATTAGGATGTTATTGACAGTTTTAATTCAAGGATAAGGAGACAAGCTTCCTCAACATACAATTCTAATTTATATTTAGTTGGGGTGCAGTGGTACATACCTGTAATCCCAGCGCTGTGGGAGGATCCTCTGAGTCCAGAAGTTCAAGACCAGCCTGGGCAACATGGTGACACCTCGCCTCTACAGAAAATCAAAAATAGTTGCTGCTTTTGTGGCACTCTCCTATAGTCCCAGCTGCTTGCAATGCTGAGGCAGAAGGATCACCTGAGCCCAGGAGGTCTAGCCTGGGCAACAGTGAGACCCTGATGCAAAAATAATAATAATGATTTATATTTAAACAAGTAATTTTGGCAAAATTAATTACTCACAATTTCACCAGTCTCACAAACTTACTTTTTTTGTTTGTTTTTGTTTTTTTGAGTCAGAGTCTCATTCTGTCAAACGGGCAGCTAGACCTGCTGCGCTCAGGCAATCCTTCCATCTCAGCCTTCCAAGTTGCTGGAACTATAGGTGCGCTACCACATCCAGCCAATTTTTTTATATCTATTGTAGAGACAAGGTCTCTCCAAGTTGCCCAGACTGGTCTCAAACCCCTGGATTCAAGCAATCCTCACCTCCTCCTCCCAAAATGCTGGGATTACAGGCTTGAGCCATCATACCCAGCCCAAACTTACTTTTGATTTTCGTGTGCTTCAAAGTTTTTGTCCATATACCTGTCTTATTCTTTTTTTTTTCTTTTTTTTTTTTGAGTTGGAGTCTCACTCTGTCACCCAGGCTGGAGGGCAGTGACACTCTCCCAGCCACCGCAGCCTCGACCTCTTGGGCTCAGGCAATCCTTCGACTCAGCCTTCCAAGTAGCTGGAATTAAAGCACACACCATTATTACCCAGCTAATTTTTTTATGTATTGGAGAGATGGGGTCTTGCCAAGTTGCCCAGACTGGTCTCAAACCCACGGGCTCAGGAAATCCTCTCACCTTGGCCTCCTGAAGTGCTGGGATTATAGGCATGAGCCACTGTGCCAGGCCATTTTTATATTCTTTTTTTTTTTTTTTTTTTTTTTGAGTCAGAGTCTCACTATCACCCAGACTGGAGTGCAGTGGCATTATCACAGCTCATCACAGCTTCAGTCTCCTGGTTTCAAACAATTCTCCTGTCTCAGCCTCCCAAGTAGCTGGGAGTACAGGCACGTACCACCATACCTAGCTCATTTTTTAATTTTTTTGTAGAGACAAGGTCTTACTATGATGCGGGCTGGTCTTGAACTCCTGGCCTCAAAGCAGTTCCTTCACCTCAGCCACCCAAAGTGCTAGGATTATGGGATTGAGCCACTGCACCCAGCTAAATTCTTATTTTTTATTTACTGCATTACAAAGGTTTGCCCATGTTATAATCTTGATGATTATCATGTTAATAGATGCATAATAGTGAGGCATTAACTTGAAATAATTGAAAAGTTTGTGTTGATTTGATTTTCTGAGTTGAAAATATCTTTTAAATTATGCTTCACTCATACTTGAGCAAAAATGAGAGCCCAATTAATAAGCTCTTCAAATGAGATTCTTGTGGAAAGTTACTTGATTTGACCTTCTTTTTGTTATGCTGAGGTAGTGCCTATAACAAGTTATTCTTATAAGTAACAAGGCTTTGTTGAGACAGATCTGATAAGAGAAAACTGTGCTTATGCTTTTGATAACTTTTTTGTAGCTCTGGTATTATGGGGAGAATTTGTTGATGCTGCATGGACAATCTCTGACTGTGATCCCATACAAGTGCGAAGTATCATCGTTGGCAGGTGCTCTGGGAAAACTCAAGCACAGTCACGATCCAGGTAGAAACGGACCTTGCGCTGTTCCCTGACACATCCCACTCCATCATCTTCTGGGGTGTTGTGTAGGTTCCCACAGGCTTTTCCCATAGCATGGTCTGTAATCTGAAGTGTGCACTCGTCACTGAAACCTGTGAACAGCCTGTGTTACAGTCACTGCCACGTGGGGGTGCGTCCCCAGGGCATCACCAGTAACATTCTGCCTGCCTTGGTCACTGGAGCGTAATGCTGCAGGGCAGCTAGCCTGTTGTTCTGTTAGGTTGACTGACCTGAGGTTGTCAGTAGACCTATGTGGACTTCAAAGCTACTCTTGAATTGTCCATGCCATGCTTTTTATTGTTCTTTGATTTCATCAGGTAAATACCAAGAGGTCGAGACGTTCCAGATATTGTGTTTTGTGTTTCCTTAGGCATTCAAGTCATGCCCCCTTTTGTAAATTGGGAAGCATCTCAGGGAGATGGACTTGGATCCCAACACGCAGAGCAGCCAAGACGAATTGTAAGTTGAGTAATTAAATAGAAATCTTGATGCAAATGATGAAAAAGAGGAAGATGGCTGAGCTATTTTAATGATTTGTATTCTTATTACTCTGGTAGCGTTTATCTTAACGACAGGGCACTTGGAGGCTTAAACCCAGAAACCTCACAACCTTTCTCCACAAGTGGCACCTGCAGTCCCTGAGCTATTCTGGGGGCATGTGTGTGGCTTTAAAGCCCCAGGGTGAAGGTGGCCTTGTTGACAATTAGCAGTGATACCTTCCTGAGTACAGAGATTATATGTAAAAACCAACAACCTAAAAGCTTTGGGATACTTCATTTCAAAGCTGAAATGAAAGTACTTTTCCTTATAACAAACATGTTTTAAGATTTGTGATTGGAGCAAGGGTATGCCAGTCTCTTTGAAGTGTTTCATATTCTTCTGAATGAACATTGGGTCTCTTGTTTTGTGATCCTAATCCATTTACTTAATTCCAGTTAAGGAGACGAAAAATTGAAGTGAGTTCACAGCCAGCGGTTCCACCATCCAAACAACTGTTAACAACCATCATGGTAAATAAAAAATGTTGGCATATGAAAAATCAGCCCAGGTGGTCACACCTACTTGGCATACTCTCTTTTTTGGTCATCTTTATAGCTGCAGCTAGCATTCACACAGTGTCTTGAGGGTGTCAAACTTGATCCACTGTTTTGCGCATTTAACTCTTGCTGTTAGGGTGTGGCTTCATCTGTCCCTCATTTACCTTGTGTCAGTTTTGTTCATAGTTTAGCCTTCTCAAGATCTACATTTCTAAACCCTGTTTTTTTTCATTCTTTGCTTTTTTATTTTTGCCTAGCAAATGGCAGTATCAGCTGTGGCTTCAGAGGAATGCTGGAAAGTGTTATTTATTTGGGCCAGGCATGGTGGCTCAAGCCTGTAATCCCAGCACTTTGGGGGGCCGAGGTGAGAGGATTGCCTGAGCCCACGGGTTCAAGAACAGCCCGGGCAACTAGGCGAGACCTTTTCTCTACAATACATCAAAAAATTGAAAGTATTACTGATTTGACATAACTTTGTGCTGGGACATTCTAAGTTCAGAGTGACATTTACTAATGTGCCATACTGAATTCTTTAATCCTGCTCTTTCAGAAAGATTCAGAAAAACACATTGAAATGGAACTACGTAAGTTTTTGGCTGTTAAAACACCTGACTTTCATGCCATAGTTGGGGACCTAGTAACAGGACTTCTGGGGAGATGTCAAGTGGAACCATCATTCTGTCCCCGGAACTGTCTGGTGCAGCTTATCCAAACACATGTACTTTCTTACAGGTAGATACTCTTAAGCACCAAACTTAGGCTGCATAACTCTTTTGACCTTGTTTTCTACGATCCTGATTTCTTAAAACTGAAAACCCTGTGAGTTGTCTGCGGTTGACATTTTCTTTCTTGCCTTAGCTTGTGCCCTGGCTTGATGGAGATGGCCGTGAAGAAGACCGATGTGCAACTGCTGCAGCTCTGTCTGCAGCGATTCCCTGACATTCCCGAATCGGTCACCTGTGCCTGCTTGAAAATCTTCTTGAGGTAAGTCGGAATTCAGTGGTCCTCTCTTCCACTACGTTTGTATTATCTTACATGATCTGCTCGCTAAAACCTCAGTGCATAGAAAGTGGATTTTCTTCCAAAAGTCCAAAGAGTGATGCGAATTAACCTCTTGCTTTTGATTGATGTCGCAGCATTGGTGATGACAGTCTTCACCAAGCAGAGATCGACATGGAGTCTGTGTTTGACTACGGTGACTCTGTCCAGGGTGACAACGTGGCGGCACCCGTGGACGTGCTCCAGAATGGCTTCAGTCCTGAAGGAGACACCTGCCTCTCCTGTTGTCAGGAGGTCCCTGCGAAGCCCCAGGACGCAGCAGCAGCGACCCCGACCTGCCCCGTGACACCACAGAGAGCCGCTCTGCTGTATCCTTGGCAGCAGCCCCATGTCCCCTCCATGGTGTGGGCACATGCCACCCAGGAACAAAGGCGCTATTAGAGAACTTCGGGTCTCAGCAGGACACGGCGGCTCACACCTGTCATCCCAGTACTTGGGAGGCAGAGATGCGACATCTGCCTGAGCCCAGGGGTTTGAGACCAGCCTGTCTCTACAATTAAAAAAGAAAAATTAAGCTGGGTGGCTCAACCTGTAATCCCGCGCCTTTGGGAGGCTGAGGTGAGTGGATTGGCTGAGCCTGCGGGTTCAAGACCCGCCTGGGCTACTTGGCAAGACCTCATCTCTACAATAAATCAAACAATTAGCTGGGCATGGTAGCGCGTGCCTGTAGTTCCAGCTACTTGGAAGGCTGAGGTGGAAGGATCGCCAGAGCCCAGTAAATTGAGGCTGTGGTGGCCGGGGGCGGCCACTGCACTCCAGTCTAGGCGACCGAGTAAGACTCCAACTCAAAAAAAAAAAAAAAAAAAGGAAATAGAAAAATTAGCCGGGCGTGGTGGCACACGCCTGTAGTTCCAGCTGCTTGAGAGACTGCGGCAGAAGGATTGCCTGAGCCCAGCAGGTTGAGGCTGCGGTGGCCATGGCCATGCCTGGGCAGCAGAGTGAGACCCTGACTCCAAAAAAAAGGTTTTTTTTTCATTTTGTTTCCATTTCTGCTTCAAAATGGATCGTGTTCGGTGTTACATTCAAACAACTTAGACCTGTTTTCTTAATTAAGAAGCTGTATCAGTTCTAAAGATCTGTATTCTGAACAGATATTTCAGGTCTCTGGTGATTAGGAGTGTTTGGTGGTCAAGCTCTTTTAGAGAAGTAAAACTTTTGTGTGAATGTAGAAAACTGTCTGGGGAGGGAGTCACACATCATTTCGGTAGCATGGCTTTTATCTTTGAAATGAGGTTTCCAGCCGGGCTTGGTGGCTCAGCCTGTAATCCTACTGCTTTGGGAGGCTGAGGTGAGTGGATGGCCTGAGCCCGCGGGTTCAAGACCTGCCTGGGCAACTTGGCGAGACCTCATCTCTACAATAAATGAAAAATTAGCCGGCCGTGGTAGCTCGCGCCTGTAGTTCCAGCTACTTGGAAGGCTGAGGTGGAAGGATCACCGGAGTCCAGCAGGTGAAGGCTGTGGTGCCTGGGAGCAGCCACTGTACTCTAGTCTGGGTGACAGAGTGAGACTCCAACTCAAAAAAACAAAAAAAAGGTTTCCTTCATTCATGAGCAGAAACGCCATTCTTCACTCAGGGTACAGCGAGGCGTTTCTTCTGCCCCACTTGAAGGACATACCAGCACAGCACATCACCGTAAGTGTCTTCTTGGTCCTGTGGAATGTCCCTGGCTGAGGTTTTGCTGCGTCTCTCTAGCCAGCTGTTAGGGTGTTATAGGGGTTCTCCAATTCTTCCATGTGGTGACGCTTTTGTGGTGAGAAATTGTGCAGAGAAGACAGGCTTTTCCGGGGCAACAGGCCCCAGCGTGTCCCCGCACCGGGGTTGGAAGCCAGGTACAGCCACTGCATCCTGCATGAGTGGATGCTGAGAAGAACTAAGGCGGCCGGGCTCGGTGGCTCAGCCTGTAATCCCGCGCTTTGGGAGGCTGAGGTGAGTGGATTGCCTGAGCCCGTGGGTTTGAGACCTGCCTGGGCAACTTGGCAAAACCTCATCTCCACAATAAATCAAAAAAATTAGCCGGGCGTGGTAGTACACGCCTGTAGTTCCAGCTACTTGGAAGGCTGAGGCGGAAGGATCACCAGAGCCCAGCAGGTCGAGGCTGCGGTGGCTGGGAGCGGCCACTGCACTCCTATGTGGGCGACAGAGTGAGACTCCAACTCAAAAAGAAAAGAAAAGAACTGAGGGAAAGCTACTGTCTTCTCTGCCTGTTACTAGCAAATAAGGAGCTTGTCCCCTGCCCTCCCAGCCCAAAAGAGCTCTTCGCTTATGGCAGAGACTGCAACTTACTCATTCTGTGTCCCCAGATGTCTGGCATGTCTCTTTGATGTGTAGTGTAATTAAACATCCTGTCAAAGTTGTTTCCAGTCTTTCTGTTAGGTTTATAGAGAGGAAATGTATCTATCAAAGTGATGAATTGGTTTTTTCCCCCACACAGCTGTTTCTCAAGTATTTGTATTTCCTTTATCTGAAGTGTAGTGAAAATGCTACTATGACTCTTCCTGGAATACACCCTCCCACCCTGAATCAGGTGAGATAGTTTCTTTGTTCTTATCTGGTGCTGGGAAGAACCTTCTAAAAGCTGTGTCTGCTGGCAGCGCCAGGATTCAGAAACCGGTCTTGTCTCCTCGCCTGTCAGACCTTCCCTCGCTGTGTCACCAAATCGCTGCAGTTATAGAGAGCCTCTCACTTAGTAGAGAGATCTTCAGGTCTACAGTGCTATACCATATAGTCTGAATTCAGACTAAATTCCTAATTCTTCATCAGAATCCTTTTTGAGAGTCTCTTCAACCTTGTGGAGAGAGCACAGGGTGGGAGGGGTGATGGTAGATTGCCCCCTTAATAATCTCTTAACAATATGAGAGTAAAGATAAGTGAAAACAAGCCTGTAGTCCCAGCACTTTGGGGGGCAGAGGCGAGAGGATTGCCTGAGTCCAGGGATTCGAGAACCTGGGCAACCTGATGAGACTTCGTCTCTGTGATAAATTGAAAAATTAGGGGATGGGGAGACACCTCTTATCAACAAGGGTGCCTGAACGAAGCATATTTGTATACTAACCCTTAACTGTACCCCACAATATCATAATAAAAAATATTGATGATTTTTTTTTTTTAAATTAACTGGGCATGGTGCGCACACCTGTACTTCCAGCTACTTGGAAGGCTGAGGTGACCATGAACTTGCCACTGCATTCCAGCCTGGGCAACAGAGTGAGAGCCCAACTCAGGAAAAAAAAAAAAAGATTTGTGAAAACCACTACCAATCTCATACTAGCCCATCTTTATAAACAATACTCGAGAGATGATATGAAACATTTAATAATTTATTTCCCTCCTACAAAGGCATATCTGTAGTTCCTTGTCTGTGGACATCTAAGAATTGGAGGCAAAAAAAATGTGGATGTGGAAATTCCTGGGACAACCTGTTCTCCACAGGCTGAAGATCAACCATTCCACATGGAAGCATTTAAAAAAAATAGAATGCTGTTTGGCTGTGGGAATATGTCCTAATTACAGAGTTCAGACACCTAATTTTACTCTTTGTCGTTTTAACGATAAGTTCAGTTTTTGGTTTTTTGTTTTTTTGAGTTGGAGTCTCACTCTGTCGCCCAGGCTGGAGTACAGTGGTATGCTCACAGCCACGGCAGCCTTGACCTACTGGGCTCAGGCAGTCCCTCTGCCTCAGGCTTCCAAGTAGCTGGAACTACAGGCACACACCACCGTACTCGGCTAATTCTTTGATTCATTGTAGAAACAAAGTCTTACCAAGTTGCCCAGGCTGGTCTCGAACCTTGGACTCAGGTAATCCTCTCGCCATCACCTCCCAGAGCTCTGGGATTGATCATGAGCCATCGGCACCCAGCAAGTTCAGTTTTTAAGTAGTTCGTTTTTATCTTTTTCTTTTTTTGAGCCAGAGTCTCACTCTGTCACTCAGTGCAGTGGCATACACAGGGCCACCTCAGCCTTCCAAGTAGCTGGAACCACAGGCACATGCCACCACACCTGACTGATTTTTTTGATTAATTGTAGAGACAAGGTCTTGCCAAGTTGCCCAGGCTGGTCTCAACCCCTTGGGCTCAGGCAGTCCTTTTGCCTCCACTTTCCAGAGTGTTGGGATTAGAGGCATGAGCCACCGCACCCAGCTAGTTTTTTTAATATTAAGAAAAAATTCAGCCGGGATCGGTGGCTCAGCCTGTAATCCCACGCCTTTGGGAGGCTGAGGTGAGTGGATTGCCTGAGCCCCGCGGGTTCGAGACCCGCCTGGGCAGTGAGACCTCATCTCTACAATAAATCAAAAGGTTAGCCGGGCGTGGTAGCACGCGCCTGTAGTTCCAGCTACTTGGAAGGCTGAGGCCGAAGGATTGCCGGAGCCCAGCAGCTCGAGGCTGCAGTGGCCGGCAGCGGCCACTGCACTCCAGTCTGGGCGACAGAGTGAGACTTCAACTCAAAAAAAACCAAAAAACAACAACAACAAAAAAAGACAAGGCTGAGCCAGGCTCGGTGGCTCAGCCTGTAATCCCACGCCTTTGGGAGGCTGAGATGAGTGGATTGCCTGAGCCCACGGGTTCGAGACCCGCCTGGGCAACTTGGCAAGACTTCATCTCTACAATAAATCAAAAATTAGCCAGGCGTGGTAGCGCGCACCTGTAGTTCCAGCTACTTGGAAGGCTGAGGCGGAAGGATTGCCGGAGTCCAGCAGGTCGAGGCTACGGTGGCCAGGAGCGGCCACTGCACTCCAGTCTGGGTGACAGAGTGAGACTCCAACTCAAAAACAAACACAAGCCGGGCTCGGTGGCTCAGCCTGTAATCCCACTCCTTTGGGAGGCTGAGGTGAGTGAATTGCCTGAGCCCGCGGGTTCGAGACCCGCCTGGGCAACTTGGCAAGATCTCATCTCTACAATAAATCAAAAAAAAAACTAGCTGGGTGTGGTAGCGCGCGCCTGTAGTTCCAGCTACTTGGAAGGCTGAGGCGGAAGGATCGCCGGAGCCCAGCAGGTCGAGGCTGCGGTGGCTGGGAGCGGCACTGCATTCCAGTCTGGACGACAGAGTGAGACTCCAACTCAAAAAAATAATAATAATAATAATAAATAAATATAAAAAGACAAGGCTGAACATGGTGGCTCACGCCTTTAATCCCCAACACTCTGGGAGGCTGAGCCAAGAGAATCACTTGAGGCCAGGAATTGGAGACCAGTCTGGGCAAATGGCAAGACTGACTCTACAAAAAGAAAATTTTCAGTTAGGTGGGTGTGGTGGTGTCGGCCTGTAGTCCCAGGGACTCGGGAGGCTGAAAGTCTTTTTTTTTCTGTCTGATATATTTATGGACTTTGCAAAATGAATTAACCTAAAATTAAAATCTTGCCTTTTCCCTGTGTGTCTTCAGATCCTGGATTGGATATGCCTCCTGCTAGATGCTAATTTTACTGTTGTGGTCATGATCCCAGAGGCAAAAAGACTACTGATAAGTCTTTACAAGTTTGTGAAATCTCAGGTTTGTGATTATTTGATATATACCCTGATTTTATGTGTGCCCAGTTATTACCTGAATTACAGTTTATTCTTAATGTTTGTCCTTGAAAATGCTATGAATACTTATGAATAATTTGTTTCTACAGAGAAGGTATGGTAAAAGTTACGCTGAAACTTTTTTCTCTAGATATCTGTTTATTCTGAGCTCAACAAGATTGAAGTCAGTTTTCGGGAGCTGCAGAAATTAAATCAGGAAAAGAATAACAGAGGGTTATATTCCATCGAAGTGCTGGAACTCTTCTGAGATGACCAGCTCTCCCTCACAGACGTTTTATGAAGCTCTTTTATGGAGACTCTTCCTGCTCCTCCATTGAGCATAGTGTGTTGTTTACAACCAACTCAGTGTCAAGAGGACAGTGTTCATGAGCCCTGGGCCATCATGTGTCCGGGCCCCAGGAAGGCAGCAGTTTCTGTGTGAACCTCTGGATGGTGGACATTGGTAGGGAGAGCTTCTGAATTTTTTAAAAATGTGAACCTGGGTTGATTTTAAGTAAACTTATTTGTGTACTGATAAAAGTCTACTTTCTTATTATGTGTGTTGAATCGTTTTTCTTTTAGTGACAAACAACCATTGAGGCAGGTGTTCTAGGAATAATGTTCCTCATCAGAGCCAGAGCTGCCGCACTCGCCCCAGAGATCTCACCCCGCAGAAGGGGTCTCCTGGAGAGGGTTGACCCAGAAAGAGGTCCCCATGTGGGCCTGCCTGCCTCTTGCTGGCCTGACCTCCACCTCCTTCCACCACCTGCTCTCGCCCGGGTCCTGCTCATTGTCTCTCGGGTTACCTCCGTGATTGGTTTCTAAAGATCAGGTTTGGTTAGGAAGACGTGTTCCCAGATAGTGAAAAGTGCTCTTGTGCAGTAACCTTCAGGCTTGCGAGCCACCAGCTTTCCGGGTCGAGGAGAAAGGAAAAGCCCACACAGTCGGGGAGGCTGGGCTGCCTCGCCAGGGGAGGCCGGGCCCTCTGAGTGCTTCCGTCCCAGTCATGGCCACCGCAGGCCTGAGAGTAGCCACGGGAAGGGGTGTGGGCATGTCCTGGCCACCTTGCTCCCAGGACGAGGCCGCCCACTCAGCCCGTCCCAACCCAGGCGGCAGGTGCTCAGCCGGATCTGTCTCCGTGGGCAGGCCCCATCTCCTTGCTGAGCTCTCCAGGGGTCATCTCCAGACATTACAAAGTTATGGATCCCGAGACTTTTCTTCATAAGAATTTGAGGTGTAGGCCAGGTGTGGTTCCCACCTGTCATCCCAGCACTTCACTTTGGGAGGCCGAGGGAAGAGAATTGCCCAAACCCAGGGACTCGAGAGCAGCCTGGGCAACTTGGTGAGACCTCGTCTCTACAATAAATCAAAATTTAGCCGAGGGTGCTGTCACATGCCTAGGTTCCGGCTATTTGGAAGGCTGAGGTGGAAGGACCGCCGGAGCCCAGCAAGTTGAGACTGCGGTGGCCATGAGCATGCCACTGCACTCTAGCCTGGCTAACAGAATGAGACTCCAACTCATAAATAAACAAATAAATAGCAATCTAACAATAATAGCAATATAACTATAACAATAATGAAAGCAAAATACTGAAGCTTAAAATGTTGACAAATAGCCGGGCTCGGTGGCTCAGCCTGTCATTCCGCACCTTTGGGAGGCTGAGGTGAGTGGATTGCCTGAGCCCGCGGGTTCGAGACCCGCCTGGGC